TTCTGTAGGTACATGTATATTTTGGTAATTAAAACTCTACATAGAATTAAATTTTTCACAACTATACAATGGTAAACATTATCCTTATTCCAATTTCTACAACAGTATATAATTTATTACTGTACAATTCCAGGTTTTCTGTAACTTTTACAAAAATTTTCATCTTCCAGTTGTAGGATATTCATTTTGAGACTCCCTGTATTATATTGTGATACAATTGAACATGTTTATGCCAAAAAGACTTAAACAACAATGTTTTTGCATCTTCGTTATAATTGTCATTCTCTTTAACATACTGTATGTGTAGAAAATGTTTCCACACATTTCAGTACTTTGTAAAGTACACCAAAGAAAAGTAGAATAGAATATGTCTATTGAGTTTGTACTTGCCTGATCTGGCTTATTATGAGACATAATGAAGTCACGGTATAACAGTTCGTTTCTTTTTGTTCAGTCCAAAAATCATATATCTGATTAATGGATCTAGAATACCTAACGATACTAAGATATTTTTGATCTTTTCATAATTATAAAAGATATTTATCCCTATAATAAACAAATAAATGTGAATTCACTTTTACTCCTACTACATGAAAGAAAAATTTAAGATGTTATTTTAAAAAAATTAAGTTTTTATTTAAGTACTATAACTTAGCATACCCGTCTGAGATTTCCAGTACTCTACTCAGGACAGACTGGGAGGAGAAGTTCTGGTCCCTGACACAAGGGAAGTTCAAGGGTGCATTTCAATGACAAGTAGGAAATACTATATGGGTACATAGGATCATATGACATCATGAATAAGGAGAAAATGCACATACACACATGTATACCTACACCATATTCAATCAGTAAATCAAAAGAAAGCTGCATCCAATACTGTGGTGTAACGCCATCGTGACAGCATTTCGTCTTAATGAGAGAATGTCATGGACGCTAGTCTGAAAGAGATGTTCGGGAGGGAACCCATATATGAGTGACTCTTGCGAATTCACAAATAAAATATAAAGGGAACAAGTAGAGAGGTGACCCCAATCTGTGTCTGACCCAAATAGGTACTTCCTATTTGGATGAGGAAGCTTCTAGCTAGTGAGGAAGCTACTAGGAATAGTAGTTTCCTCACTAGCTAGCTAGATAACTTACTGTTGCTTTGAGAAGATTCAATCTTTTCTGGATTCAAGAGTCCCGGGTATACCAGGACCAAGTAAATGATTGTTGGTGGAAAGCATAACTGAAAGCATTCTGGTCATTAAAAATAGTTTTATTAAAAATTTAATTTTATTAAAATTTAAAAACTAATAAATTTAATAAAATTTATAAAATAATTAAATTTTAAATTTAATATTATTTATTGTAAGATTATTCCACATATTAATTTATTCAGATTTGATGACTTTTTTTCTGCTGATCATTTACAGTGACCAAGGCGACAGCTTCTCTGCGTTCAGTTAAATGAGTATTTTCACCTTCCTTCTTTTGTTCCAATGTCCACTGAACCACAACTACAAGAAATGCAGTAAATTTCTTTACTGGACAACGGTTCTCTTGGATATTTTTGACCTGTCTTAGATTTTCTTGTATCATATTCGTTGGTTTGAAGATGGACTCATATTTCACTAAGATTTTACCAATTCGATCTATCACATTATTTTGAGTATTTTGGTTCTTATTTCGGAATTGGTAATTCATCCTTTAACCACATCTAAATGTAAACAAAATTCTAAAGTATTTTTGACTGAGACCCTATGGCTTAAATTAAGATAATCATCATAAAATATAGAGATACTAGATTCATATCTTTCATAGATTTTTAACATGCTTTCTATAAAATTCCTTTGAGTAACGAATTCTATGGGTAACCCTAACATATGGTCTTAAAAGAACATTTTTCTTGTGAAATTTGGGAAGGTCATACAGTAGCGGTGGTAGTGCTTCTGTTTTTTTTTGTACTCTCTCTCTCTCTTTATCTTCCTATCTCTCTCCTTCCCTCTCTCTGTCATGGTATTTAAATATTTTAGATGTTATCTTCGCATCTGAATCAAGGTCTAAGTATCTGAGGTCTGAGGGTCTTTTGCTGAGTAGGTTTTCCTTCCATTACCGTTTGATGAGCTGTTTGTCCTGGGCTCTCCGCGCATATTTTGTCCACCCGAGCCTCCAAGCTTATTATTATTATTATACTTGTTGGCCGTATATGCTTTCCAATTCCTCATTATTTCCAATTTGATATTGCCCAGTTGTATGATCAACTATAGAATCATATTTTTCTTAATATTTTGCGTTCAGAACGCCTTAGTAGTTTCTGAACTGTATGTTATGATTGGCCCAATCACTGTTCTATATTCAAATTTCTAGTTAGCAATTTTTATTTCAGTGTATTTTGTAGTGCACAAAAATATGTTAAATTTTTATATTATAGTCCATATTTCTCTACTCAAATTGTTGTCGTGAGTTGTGGTGTCACCCAAATATTGGAATTCTTTTACACATTAAAAATTGAATGTGTCCATAGTTATATTTTGCCTCTTTCTGTCTCTGGCTGGTCGGTGTGCATATATTTCGCTTTGCATTGATCTTGGGCACTAATTTTGCTTCCTCATGTATTTTCATAAACGTTTCTTTTGCTTTGGTGAGACTACTGCCATCTGCGTATGTCAGAATCATTCGGAGGCCCTGGTCTGAGCTTTATGTTAATTTATCTGATGGTTATATCTAATACAATGTTAAAGAGTAGTGCTCATAGTCTGCCACCTTGTTTTAATTAAACCATTAATAATAGATAAACTTCCTGTGACATGACCTTAGCTGTTAAATCCCCAATACATATTTTAGGTAAATTAATATTTTTACTTTGTACTCTATACTTTCCATAGCCATCCACACTCAATCCCTTACGATGTCATAAGCTTGTCGGAAATCTGTAAACAATTTGTGCACATCTTTATTAAATACCCAATTTTTTTTCAGCAGTTGTCTAACAGTGAAAATTTGATCTTGTGTTGGTCTTAACTTTATCTCTCAATATATTTGATTAAAAAAGAAAACACCATGGTTTAGAGAGGAAGTGAAGACAAAATGTGACGAAAAGAAGCCTTTTTACAATACAGGACACAACAAACACAACAGGCATACAACCACTATAAACGAATCAGAAATGAAACGAATACTTTAGTTAGACAAATAAAAAAGGAACACTGGCAGAGTTTATCAAAACAGATGGAACATGACTTCTACGCAAAACAAAAAGAAATATGGAGAATGATCAGAGGATAAGAAAAGCGATGAACGAACTAGTAAAAATAAAACACATTCAAAAGGAAACCTTTATTATTATTAAGCTTTAAGGAAATTAAAAAATAGAAAATCACCAGGAGAAGACAGAATACCGAACGAACTCCTTTATACAGAAGACTAGATCTGACCAAACAACTATTAAAACTAATACAAAAAATAAAAGAACAAAACAGAATTCCTCAAGAATGGAGATCAAGCATGCTAATATCTCTCTTCAAAAAAGGAGACAAATTGGACCCGGAAAATTACAGAGGCCTTAATTTATTAAACACAACACTAAAATTATCAACCAAAGTGATAACAAATGAACTGAATGAAATTATAACACTAGCAGAAGAACGACAAGGTTTTAGGTTGGGAAGATCATGCACCGACGCTATATTTATAATGAGGCAAGTGCAAGAGAAATCAATAGAATACAACAAACCGGCATATCTATGTTTCGTAGACCTTACAAAGGCATTTGACCGGGTCAAATTAAAATATGTTATCCACTTACTGTACGCAAGAGAGATACCTCTAGGAATAATCAAAACGATGGAAAATATCTACCAAAACAACAAAATAAAAGTAAAAGTAGAAGAAGAACTAACCTACCCTATTGAAGCTGGTAATGGGATAAGACAGGGAGATTCCCTGAGTCCTCTATTGTTCAACCTGATTATGGATGAAATAATAAAAAAGTAAGAACTAAAACAGGATACCAAATGGGAGAAAAACAAATTAAAATAATCTGCTATGCAGACTACGCAATACTACTCTCTCAAGGTGAAGACGATTTACAACGTATGCTGCACCAATTTAATATAACCGCTAGAAACTTTCACATGTTAATTTTCCCAAAAAAAGACAAAATATATGTGATGGAGTGATGGAGTTTAAATATCTATGCATCACATTATCTATCTACGGAAATCTCGAAACTGAAGTAGAAGCTCAAGTGTATAGAGCAAACAGAGCCGCAGGCTGCCTAAATGAAACAATATGGAGAAATAAAAATATCGGGAAAGAAACGAAAGGCAGAATTTACAAAACAGTCATCAGACCAGTAATGACATACACGGCAGAAACAAGACCTGTTCCCCAAGAGACGGTTCCCCAATAGGAAGACGATTAGTAGTAAGACCACAAAAACGATGGAACGTTAACATACTGGAGGCACATTGAAAAACAGACAGAGTCATGTCTATATAAAAAGAAGAAGAAGAAGAATATATTTAATAGTATCTTGTATATTATGTTTAGCAGTTTGACATCTCTGTAATTCTTGCATTCTGATACCTTTTTATGAATGGGGATAATTATAACCTCGTTCGTTTGGCAGTTTTCGATTCCCATATCTTTCCCACCATGGATTGTATCTCGATATGCAGTCGTTTACCACTAAATTTGATGAGTTGTGCAGTTATGTTGTGACTCCTATGGTTTTGTTGTTGCTTAACTCTTAGATTGTTCTTTCCTTGTACATTTCTCTTAATTTGTCATTCAATAGAAGTAGTCCGGACCAATTAATTAGGAAGAAGCATCAAAACCCCGAAAACAATGTATTATTATAAAACTGCGAAGGCCAGTGTTTAATATTGATTATGTTGTATTTTTTAGATAGTAAAAATGTTTAAATTTTTTTTTATTTTTGTCAGACAGTTATGATATAATTCATCATGATAATTTGACATTAAATATCTTATTAACGCAAATCTTTTTTTTAGATCCCTTGCACACATCTATCCCTCAAACCATCCACAGCATAGCAGATGCAGTCACCCATGCCCGTTTCGTTGGAACAGACCAGTCGTCAGATGGAGTAGTTCTCATAAGAATATTGCAAGTCCTAAGAACTCTGACATTGTCTCCAGAAGGCACTGCCTTAACTAATGAAAGCCTCTGTGAGATAATGCTGTCATGTTTTCGAATATGCTTTGAAACGAGGCTTGTCGACCTCTTGAGAAAAACTGCCGAACACTATTTAAAGGAAATGGTGCAATTAATTTTTATGAGGTTGCCGCAGTTTAGTGAGGATCTCAAAGTTTCTTACATTAAACAGTTAAAGATGAAACCTGGAGCTTTAGATCAAACACGTACTAAGAGGAAAAAGCAGTATTCTTCACTTAAAAAAGATAAGAATGACACTGACATTAAGTCTCCCCAAACCCCACAAGGCAATCTTGCAACAGTAGCACAAAGTAGTATAGTAGATATGCAAGGTTCCTTGCAAAATCCTGAAAACGCTAACCCTGTAACTCCAAATGCTAGTCCAAAAGAAAATTTCAAGTGTGATGTAGATATCATTGTTGACAGTCCTGTTAGTAATAATGAAGATTTAAAAAATATCGATTCTATATCGTCTGGTGTAGACGAAGCAGTAACAGAACCTAAATCACTTACTGAAGAAGAAATTACAGAAGAACAGAGTCAGACCACTCAAGATTATATCAATCAAAGAGGCATAAGGTTTACTCCACAATTGCAGCAAGAAGCTAACTTGTCGCCCTATGGTTTAGCATGTGTAAGAGAATTACTGAGATTTTTAATAAGCCTTTGTAACCCTCTTGATAAACAAAATACAGAAATCATGATCCATCTGGGTTTGACTCTTTTAACAGTTGCATTTGAAATAAGTGCGGATAATATTGGTAAATATAACACTCTATTAGCTTTAGTAAAGGATGATTTATGCAGAAATCTATTTTCTCTTATGACTACCGAAAGACTAGCAATATTTTCATTGGATTTACAAGTGTCTTTTTTATTGTTTGAATCATTGAGGACACATCTTAAATATCAATTAGAACATTATCTAAAGAAATTAATAGATATCATTCTCAGCGATTCTCCTAAAGTAACCTACGAACACAAGGAAATAGCATTAGATAATCTACTTCAGTTATGGCGAATACCAGGGTTTCATACTGAACTATATGTTAATTACGATTGCGATATGTACTGTGCGAATCTGTACGAAGAATTAACTAAATTGTTAGCTAAACATTCAATATCTTCGACTACTGGAGTGTACCATACCCATTTGTTATCTTTGGATGCACTCATGATAATCACTGAAGGCATTGAAAACCGGTGTTGTGAAGAAAAAGATAGATTAGATGCAGGAAATAGCGAATTGGTTCAGCAATCAAATGACATTAGCTTCTATATCGGAAAAAATTCTAGGACTAAAATTTCTCCAATCATGCCAAAGAAGGAGGAATTAGCTCAAAAGAAAAGTATTAAGAAGTGGCTACCGCAAGGTAAGGAACTATTTTTTCTTGACTAGACTGTTTTATCTTAAATCATTAGATTTTCCTATAATTCTTTTTAGACGAAAATTATCGTTATTAAATAGCTTCTAGTATTCACTGCTGAACCTACGCGTTTCCTAATAGATTGCGATTATTTCTCACGTGTGATCAGGACAGAAGTTGTGTTACTCAGTTTTTTTGTTGATCTACACGATCCTTTAACCAGATTATTTTTAATGGCCAAAATGGAAACATTACGGAATCGAACTTGTCTTGTCGAGTTTCCTAAGTACGTCTTTATTCATTTAAATGTTGAAAAACTACGTTCTACAGAGGCACGAGTACCTGGAATGGTCAGTACTAACTTACATAATTTCACTACCTCCGAATTCGCTTTGTTCAAGGAAGTTGTTTTTACAAACGTTAGTAACTCACCGGCATAATTTTTTTGTCAATGTCAAAGCTGTTAGCTCCGAACGTAATGAAATCAAGTCATAATATTGTCTATAAAGACGTATCAAAGATTTTATTTGTTTTTCAGAAAAACGCGTGTTTTTGTACATTTAAATTGCACAGCTTAAGAAAGTCTAGATCATCAAAATTCTTAAATCTATTTTCCATTTGTTGGTATATTTTTGGTCTAAAATCTGATAATATAGTCCGCGGTAGCACGAATCTTTGTTAGCATCTCTCTTTTTTATAATAATACAATATTTAAATTCGTTAATTACTTTTATACAGACGCCAATATCGTTTATCTTGCATTGTAATACATTAAATAAATTATCTGAGAATGAAAATATTTAAAAAAAAGCAAGAACAAAATTAAAATTAAAATCATTTTTTAAACTCTCCAAAAATACCATTCTACAAAACACTCAAATATATCAGTTAAATAATCGTGGTGTTTTAAGACTGTTAATACTAGTCTGCCGTTGTAATTCCATCGCATCTGTGAAGTTTATATAGTTCTAATTTATTTGTCTTTATTCTAATTTATTGTATATATTCTAATTTATTAAAACTCACGATAGCTAATTACTAATTTATTAAATAACTTTACAAATGTATTTATTTCACGTTTCGTTACATTTAAATATCGCGTTTACCGATCTTCTTATGACTGACTCAAATACAAAAATCTTTCATTTATATACACAACTGTTGTCATCTGGAACTTTCGGCAAACTTCCTGAATAATCTCGTATTTTGGTGAAGGCGCTCGACTCGTTTTTCAACCTCGAGACGTGGATGACTCACTAAAATTAGTGTCTAGAGATTTCTGTAAACAACTGGTAGCGAAGCTCAGGTATATTTTGACCTACAAATTACGAGAATCAATAAAAAAGAATTAGTCATAAAATATTTACAGTTCTATATGCCATAACATTTAAAATCGTAACATTGCCCCCCTCTTAAAAGATGGTTCCTCCTGGAACCTTGTCGGGACTGGAACTTGAACGACATGCTGATATCGGCAACTGGACCCTCTTTTACAACTTCCAGTTGTATAGAAATGACAAGGGACGGTTTTCTCTCCGCAGCAGTAACTATGCGGATTGCAACAGACTAACACCTGGACTTCGGTGTCTTTAAAGATTTCCTCCACCATGTTTCGTATAACCCTCCAATCTAATTGGCGGCACTCCAACTTTGGCATGGCTAACTTTTGCACGTCGGACTCTAGTACGTGCTCTCTCAACTGAAGTAAGGCTTCCCATACATCTCGGTAGGTAGGTTGGTCACGGGCAGTGTCTTTTGTTACCAGGTAGAAAAGGTAACGTGATGCATCTTGAAGTTTCAAGGTTTTACCAGGAGCTGGCACTTGGCATTGAAGTTCTGCAACTCGACCAAACTTCCTTCGAAAGACGGATGCCAACCCTGGTGCATCTTTGATACTGGCCGGGATGGTAAGGGCCACTGAGTAGTCATCGGGAAGCGCGAGTAGATCTTGCCTTTCTTCAGTGGTAACACCATGTCTTGCTTTACCGGTACCTCCATAGGCACCCATGAATTCCTCAAACGTGAGGTCAGACACATCTTGGACTTGGTTTACTTCCACTTCTTCATCTACGTCGTGGTCACCCTCGAAAGACGCCAACCGGTTATGGTGTACTATCATCGGCTTTCCTCTCGGAATCTTGCTTATTCGGTAAATAACATCATTGATCTTCTCCATAATGAGGTATGGACCTTCCCAAAACTGCTGCAATTTGGAAGAACAACCTTTTCGCTTTTTGGGGTTCTAAAGCCAGACTTTATCGTTCTTCTTAAAACACCCCTTTTCGGCTTGTGTATCGTACCGTTTCTTCATTCGGTCACTAGCGATTTGGAGATGGGAACGGACCAACTCGTGTACATCGTCCATTCTTCTTCGTAATTCGATCACATAATCTTCACCTGCTACATCTTCTCCAGGTCGACACCCAAACTCTAGATCACAAGGTAGTCGCATCTCGCGTCCGAATAGGACTCTGGCTGGTGTCTGGCCTGTTGATTCATTAACAGCAGATCTGTAGGCCATTGTGAAGAACGGAAGATATTGGTCCCAGTCTCGCTGATGATCGGATACCATCTTTTTCAAATACTTGCCAACTGTTCTATTCATTCGTTCTACCATACCATCCGATTGCGGATGATAAGCCGTAGTTCTTGTTTTCTTCATACCTAGTCTATCACATATTCCTTGGAATAAATCACTTTCGAAGTTCCTGCCTTGGTCAGTATGGATCTCCAAAGGCACTCCAAATCGGCTGATATATTCTTGGATCAACTTATCTGCAACGGTGGCGGCCTTCTGGTCTGGAAGTGCGTAAATCTCGACCCACTTAGTGAAGTAATCCATTACTACCAACATGTACTTGCCTCCATTATCACTTTCTGGAAATGGCCCAGCAATGTCCAAAGCTATTCTTTCAAACGGGCTTCCAACATTATATTGTCTCATAGGAGCTCTCCTTTTTCGATAAGGCCCGTTACTCGTAGCACAAATAGTACATTTCTTACACCAGTCTTTTACATCGTCGGAACTGTTCATCCAATAAAACCGTTCCCGAATTCGCTGAAGGGTCTTTTTCACACCAAAATGCCCTCCTGATGGACTGTCGTGTAACTGACGAAGTACTTCGACTATTCTGCTCTTTGGAATCACCAACTGTCTTCTCTTCTCTGAACCGTCATCATTTTCCAGGACTCGTTTGAGCAAGCCATCTTCCATGATAAATGAGTCCCACTGGGCCCAATACGTCTTAACTATTGAGCCTAGGTTCGATATTTCTTGCCAAGGTGGTCGACGGTTTTCTTCTTTCCATTTTCGGATTTTCTGTATAACTGGATCTCTCTCTTGTTCTTCCCTGATCTTGGTAGGCGTCCAGTCGTCGTGGACCACCGTCGTTCTTAGCACTGCTGCTTCCTTGGATTCCGTTTTGTTGCAGTGAGAACACTCTGCTGGGCATGGCCTTCTGGAAAGAGAATCAGCGTTTCGGTGGCTAACTCCGGCCCGGTGCTCAATCTTAAAATCATATTCTTGGAGTCGTTCGATCCACCTGGCTATCTGATCCTCTGGATTCTTAAACTGCATCAACCACTTAAGGGCGGCATGGTCGGTTCGGATTAAAAACTTCCTTCCATAGAGGTATTGATAGAAGTGCTCTACTGATTTCACTACTGCCAGAAGTTCTCTTCTCGTGACGCAATAATTCCGCTCAGGTTTTTGAGAGAACTTTACTGAAATATCCAAGGACTCTTTCCTGTCCTCCCTGAATCTGGGACAGCACTCCTCCAATTCCCACATTACTTGCATCTGTATCTAAGATGAACTCTCCTTCTGGCAGTGGATACCCTAAAATCGGTGCTGTGATTAAATGCTTTTTTAAGGTCTCAAAGGCATTTTGGCAGTCTACATCCCAGCGGTATTCTCTTGCTTCCTCTGTAAGTCACGTTAATGGTTTAGCGATATCTGCAAACTTCTTAATAAACCTCCGGTAATAAGTACATAGTCCAAGAAAACTTCTCACTTGATGTTTGTTAGTTGGTTTTGGCCATTCCTTAATGGAATCGATTTTTCCCTTATCCACGGCCACTCCTTCTTTACTGACTATATGACCCAGATAATTGACTTTACCTTGAAATAGCTGGCACTTCTTGGGGTTTAACATCAATTGGGCAGCTTTAAGTCGATTAAAAACGTTTTCTAAATTCTTCAGATGGTCCTCAAATGTCTCCCCCAAGACGATTATGTCGTAACTAGGCACGTTTTCCAAGATAACCCTCTCAACACATTTTCCATAAGTCTCTCAAATGTCGCAGGAGCGTTACAAAGTCCAAATGGCATAACGTTGAATTGCCATAATCCAGATCCTGTGGTGAAGGCTGTCTTTTCTTTATCTACCGGGTCCATTTCTACCTGCCAGTATCCAGACTTCAAATCCAAAGTAGAAAATAATTTACTTCCAGCCAATGTGTCTAATGTGTCATCAATCCGAGGCAGAGGATAACTATCTTTCTTGGTAACGTTGTTCAGCAAACGGTAATCCACACAGAACCTCGTTGTTCCGTCTTTCTTCTTAACCAGGACTACCGGAGAGACCCATGGGCTCGTAGAAGGTTCTATCACCCCGTCTTTCTTCATTTCCTGAACAATCGTTTCAGCTTCCTCTCTTTTCGCCTGTGGTAATCGTCGAGCTGTTTGACGAATTGGCTTAGCATTACCAGTATCAATTCTATGCTTAACAACGGTAGTTCTTCCCGTCTTTCCTCCTTTCGGTACGAAAATATCACGATACTGCCGAAGAAATTCCCTTAATTTCCTTTTCTCAATCTGATTCAGAGACTGTCCAGCAACTGCAACCATTTGATCAAATTTGTCGTTGGAATTATCAGACGTTGTCGTCTGACGGATTATGGATGTCACAGGTACACAAGTTCCTACTTTTGTCTCTTTCTTGATGGTCACTGGGTAGTCATTGACATTGATAAGTCTAACAGGAATTTCTTTAGCCGAGGTCACC